TATTATCATTGATAATATTTATTAAAGTTATTTTTAATAAATAGTATTGTACCGATCTGGTGATTTTGTTTACTATCATGATGATAATGGTCAAAAAAAACTTGGAAGATTAAGATCAATTTTAAAAAATAATGATGGATATTATCAGTTACGAATTCAAAAAATTTTGGAATATAGAGATTTACCCAGAAATTTAAAAGGGTTACCAAGACAACGTCGTTCTATTACCGGTGAAGTATGGTTACAAGACAAACCATTTTTAATTATAATGACTTCTCAAATTTTAGAAAAAGTAACTATATTGATAATGTTTCAACATCAAAATATTCCTGATGGTTCATTGTGGATTAGTGAAATAATTTATAAATGTAATGACCGTTGGCACGTTCGTAATGTAAAGCTTTCATACCTACATCCATCTGATTACATTTCTATTAGAAATCCACCATTATCATCTATGCCAATTTATAAGCTGTTTTTAGATCTTTATTATGATGATTTTGGTACATTTAGAAATGTATACCATTTTCTAGGTGGTGTTTATGCACAGTTTGGAAATATGCCAGCACATCAAAAAAAGCTAATAAAGAACCATTTTGTCATTGGGTTTATCCCATTTGAAGGAAAATTTGTCGAATTTATGATACCATTCATTTCAGAAATGAAGGAATTAGAGAAAGGAAAGGTGATGACTGTCCAAGGACAAGATGCATGGATAATTGCTGGTTTAGGCGTTGTTATGGCAGATTTACCTCAAGGTAATGATATGACAGGAGTATTAAGGTATTTTTTCAATTTAGTTAATAATATAATAATATAATTTTATGACAACTATTAAAATTTTTTAAAAAATAAATTTAGACATAATGCAAATAAAGGTTGTCGTACTTGTAAAACTACTAAAGAATCATTGAGTGCTCACAATCAGGATATCGTAACAACATTACGTTATCATCATATTACAGACGAAGAAATCTTAAAAATTTCTCATGAGACTATAATGTCAAGAAGAGATCAACTTTGTACGGAATATGGTTTACGATCATTACCTAGTATTTTAGATAAATTAAAAAGGAAAAGACATTTACAGACGCCGCAGGATGTTTATCATGCGACTGCAGGAAAGATTGGGCGGCTACTAAAATTAACTTGTGAATTATTTTCACGAGAAGGAAAAGATAATTTTATCGAAATTTGGAAAAATTTTGAAATCCCAAAAAGATGGTCTCGCTTACCAAATCCGATTACTCACTACAATAGTTTTATGATGTCGGATTTACTTAGATTAGTTATGATTATGCCATTTTTGTTAAACCAGTTTTTAAAAGAATCAAGTATCAAACGTAATGAAACAGCCATGATTCAACAAAGAATTAATGCATTTTGAGTTAGTTCAGTTTCAAAAATTATTATATTTTGTTAGATACATGTTGCAAAAACTATGAAAGCGGTTTTTAACAAGAAATTTACATCAGATAGCTATGAGGAATTGCAACAATGTCTTGAAGAAGAGTTTTCAATCCTTCCAAAGGTATAGTTACAAATTTGATATTGAAATATGGAATAATTTCAAATAATTAACAATATTTTACTTTTTATAGGTTTTTGTAAATTTTGTTAATTTACCAAACATACACG